TCATCAGTCTTCTCTTTCCTGGGTAATATCTACAAAATGAAGTGTGAAAAAAGTAAGAGATAAGAGTACATATTATCTTTTTGTTCATATTCGTATACAATGATTCACATAAACATAAATGCTTACAAGGACTCATAGAGTGGACCCTGCATAACAATACCTGTCTGCAGCTTTTGAAACCAGCAGCTCAACATATGGAAGTTTCTTAAACTTCTCAGTTCCCACGGCAACGTAGCAATGGCCGGTCTCCAGCTCCCCAGCTGAGGTCACAGTCACTCCCTCCAAAGAACACAACCTAAACAAGCAGTATAAAGCTTTTATTTATTGCATTTCTACAGGCGTATATTTATATATCTGTCAGTGTCACAGACCTGCGCACGGCTCCTGTTCGCAGACAGACCTTCTCTGTGACTAGACTCAGGACCTGCTCCAGATCCTGCTGCATGCTCCGAGGAATGATGAACCGAAATGGCGGACACAGGATATCTCCATTACGGAAAACACTGAACACAAGCATCAAAGCAGAAGTTTTCAGTTGTTCTTTGATAACAGGACACAGGAAGAGTTTTTGCTCACTGTAATTCTTCATGTCTGTATAGGCCACGATGAGATGTCTTCCAATTGTTATTTCAGTTTGCAAGATATAGGGAGCAAAATCTATCGTTCTGTTTTAGTCATGAAAGTCCAGCCAAACATGAGCTAATGATGGCGCTAAAGGAAAGGTCGGATGGTCACCAATGTTATTCCCGATTGGCCCCTACAGGCTCAGGTTGGGTATCCACACTCTACAGGGGATAAATCCAGTGACTTTGATCTGCTGACTTGTTCATCCCTGGGTCAGTTACCTGACACATTCATGGTCCTCAGAGGATGGCAGGTTATGACTTTGTTGGTTGAGCCTCTGGCTTTTCCTTTAGTTCCACCATGGGGTTGACATTTGTGAATCTGAGATAAATATCTTGACAACTATTATATGAATTGCCATGAAATCTTGTACAAACATTCATGTTCCCTGAAGGATGATCTATATAAACAATGGTGACCCTCAGACCTTTTCTCTATCACCACCATCAGGTCATTTTAATTTTATGATGCATCTTCCACTAAACTTGGAAATGCTACTTTAAAAACTTTGAACCTGTAAAGACAGTCAGTCTGAGGTGTGCTAATGATCATTATGTGTGTGTTTGTCCAACTCACTGTATAATGCAGGGCACAGCTATAAACTTCCTCCATTTAGCTGAAACATTTGGCCTCTGGGCTGCTTTAACCTGGAGGCGAAATCAGATGCATGGTACAGCTCAACATCATAATGTTGTAATTTCCTCAGCAATATTGAACATTCCCTCATTAGATTTACATCATCCATGTCCTGCACATCAATTACACCGAACGTCCATCACTGCAAAATCACTTAACCCAAAAGTGTAATGACTGACTAACTATTCTGCTCATGTCAGCACGAAAGCTGCAGCCATGGAAACTGACGTCATGCAGTCACTTCTGCAATGAGACTTTAACAAAGCGTATCTGATCCTCTCAGGCTCCGCTCGAAACGTTGTCTCATATCAATGAAATCTGCTGCCAATATCCGTGTCTGCTTAGCCAGAATAGCTGGAACAAATTAACTCAGAGCAAAACTCGTCATTGATAATCTTCCCTTATTGTTTTTGCTTTGAAGGGGCAGACACTTAATGCATTTACAGTGTCTCTGAGCAGAGAGGCCTGCCCAGACATGCATGCGGCCTGATAACATTGTCCGGAAGCATTAACTCTTTGTTTCGCCGGCAGGATCAGACGCTCACTTATACGGACACGCTTCCTGCTGCATTGCTCCACAGCAACCACAACGCAGGCATGTAAGACTTTAAAACCCCTGGACTCCAGATAAAACAAATCTGCTTTCCACATGGCAGACACCCAAGGCACACACAATTACTCTGTACTCTTTTATGTTCTGCAGAAAAGTAACACTGACGGCTTAAGACTGAGAACACAATCTGCGTCTGAAGAACCAGGCGGGCGTTGCTGCCAGCTGGTCAGAATACAAAGCGAGCACTTGTGGGCATGAGTGGCTCTGAGTGTGTTCTTGTGTGTGTTGCTTTGAAATCAATTTGAATTTTAAGAGAGCTTACTCCTGTAATGCTACATCCTCATCATTTCCTCCAGAAAGAATGTTAGGCTTTTGCCCTTGTCCAGGTGTTTGTTGGTTGATTGGTTTGTTTGATTATAAGCAGGATAACTCAAAAACTACTCAACTGATTTCCATCAAATGTTGTGCATGCAGGCGTGGGCACCTGACTACCCATTACATTTTTTTTGCAGATCCGGATACACTGGTGATTTTTTTCATCATTTTTCCATGTTTTCACAGAAAATAATTCATGGATCTTGATAATGCAGATCCAAATAGAAATCTGGATTTAGTGAGTTTTAATGTGGTTTCATGTTGGGCCTTGGTGGATAAATGCGCTCTACTAAGTGCTATTTTAGTTTCTTGGTTGGTTTGTATGTTTGTCAGCAGGATTACGCAAAAACTACAAAATGGATTTCTGTGAAACTTAGTGTAAGGTCTAAGAACCCATTACATTTCGGCATGATTCCAGATTTATTCAGGAATTTGTTTTTAACTGCATATCCAATCTATCCTAGGAATGCCAGGGGATGCCCCAGGAAGTGCTGAGAAATGTGGCAAGTTAGAGGAACGTCTTGGGTATTGTTCCTGGCCAGCTACCTCTGCAACCTGAGCCCGGATAAGGGGAAGACAATGAATGGATTGACTTTCTTTAACATTGTGAGATGTTGTTGCGAAGTCATTTTCACCAATTTCCCTGTGAATAATTCATGACTCTTGAAATCAGGCCCATTTAGGGAACTGATGGAAACAGTGTGTGCACCTTGTTGCAGGTAGATTGAATTTAAGGGGACTGTTATGCAGAGGTATGCACTCTGAGTGCCATGAGTCCAAATTCATCACTTTCATGAGATTTTTTGACATTCTCACCATTTTCTCAGGGAATAATTCATGCATATTAATGAAAGAAATCAGGCACATTTGTGGGACTGATATCTTTGAGTGTGTGTCGGTGGGTTTAATCAACCACTGATAATCTCTGGGATCTGATCTCTGACGATATCCGACTGTAATTTCTTGGTTTAATTTCACATAAGAGGTTTGAAAGGCCACCGTGGACAGAACAATCTTTAGCCTATTATTAATGCTAATTCACATGACAGCCTCTGACATCAGGGGGGCGTGACGAGCAAAGAGTGACCTATGAACACGCACAAAGAACATCTACCACACAGAAACACCAACACAACAACGTGTTGTCACGTTTACAGGCAATTATGAACTTTTCTCCATAATGGAAAATCCTGCAGTCAATTCTATATTTGACTTGGCAGGCGTTCAAATGAATCGTCATGATATGAGCACAGTGCAGCCCGGTGGTGCATTCCTCCTGGTTAGACTGGGATTAATGAGTGATCGACTGTGGCCCATATGAGAAAATAAAAACCTACCTGGGGTTCTTCACGGGTGGCAGGCTGTTTTTTTGCTCCTACGTTCAGGTAGCTGTGCATGAAAACAACAGATATAAAGAAAAGACCACAACAATACTTCATCTCTTTTCCAAACAACAAAACCTCTGGTTTAAAGACTGCACACTTTCTACTGGAGAAACTGAACACCCTAATGACCTCCAATATCAGCTGTGTCAATGTCTTCAGTACTCACTCCAGTTTCTTGAACCTCTCAAATCCAGCAGCGACGTACTGGGCTCCCGTCCGAAGGTCCTGGAGGTCTTCGACCCTGTGGCCCTGCCTCGGGGTGTACAGGGTCCTAATGGCAAGCTGGGCACCTATGTTCTGGGTCACCTCGTTCAGAAAAGCCTCCATGCTTCCCACTTGTCGCTGGTTGACCACAAACCTCCGTCCACTGTAGAAGGGGTCACCATTCCTGTACACCACCACGTTCTTCACGGGAGGCAGGAGGGCTGTGGTGGCTGCAGAGCTGCCAGCCATCTCTGAGGCAGCTGTGACACAAACACACACACACACACATTTCAAGGCTGCTTAGTATTTTTGAGTTCACACACATGATTATTAAGTCATTTCCAGAGTTGCATTCATTGACCATTACCACACACCAGTTACACTCACACTCTTTTGTTTTTGGGTCACACTTGTTCATCAACCACACATCAATACAAACACATGATCTCTGATCCGTACAAGCGCAGCTCAGTCAGTCACAAACCAGTGAAGATGAAGGCGGTAGATGAGGCAGGGAGATTGCAGGATAGCAGGCAAAGGTGAAAATCTGTCCCCTCCGGTTGTTGTGGTGTGTCTGGACTCCCACTCACCACGTTCTGCTCGCCGCTGTTCCCTCTAACAGACACTCACTCACTACTCCACTGATGGTGGTGAGTATTTCCTGGTTGCTATGGCAGCGTGGCCAGCAATGACTGGCTTTGCGGGTCAAACCATCGGCAGCAACCACAACAAAAGACACAGATAGAGGAGGGGAGAATGGGTGGGTGGCTGCGTTGTAAGCTCACTTCAATAAGAATATATCATGGACATCAGCATTAACGAGCAGGAGCAAGAACCAGGAGGTGACAGAGCCATTACTTTTATTTTGAAAACTGCTCAGAAGCCTTTTTAGTTATAACAATAAAAATAAGGCTTTTTTTGGAGGAAAGGGCATTTTGTGATATATTTTTAACCCTTAGTGACACTAATAGCATATGACAACAGCAGTTTAACAGGAGACTCTGGTGTGAATGAACGCCCTGTGATGAGTGAGGCGCTCATTCATTGGAGCCGACCGTCCACATGGGAAATTTGAGCTTCTCTGAGACTCAACACAAACTAGTTTAGAGCCACAGATCCTCCCATGAGCTCCTTTCAATAGAGCTTCTTCCTACACAATAGTTAACTACCTCACCCTCTCGCAATGCATGCTACGAGGACAATATAAGAGAAACTAGTGCACTGACAACAAAACAAATAAAAACACCAAAGAGAAACATTTAAAAAAAAATACATTTATTTATTTTTTTACATTCACAACAAACATGTTTCATCAAGCACATGACAAACTGAGATCATTTCTTCAAATAATTGTAAAAACAGTTTAATGTTGATGTCAGAGTGACTTCTGTTGATGGACAGATGTCAGGCCTATTGTCCCATATTCTGAAGTTCATACAGATGACTTGTGCTGTCAGGATATGGTCAGTCTGTCCTTCAGTGATAAGTACTGGAGGAGAAAAAGAAGAAGGGAAGATGATCATTAAACCGTAAAGTCCCCACCTTTTGTGCTGTGTTGAGGACTAAATGTATATATTTTTGCTTTGATTAACTGATTCAAAAAATGTGATCATAAGGACACTAACTATGACTATACTCATCTTGTTCTCGGAAATCAGTTTCTAAGCCCTATGGATTTGTTGATGATTGAGTTGATGAGTGTGATGATTTCTATATTTTCTTCTGTAATTTGTAATTTATTTGGAAAAAGATTAATAAATTGAGTCTGAAATAAAGCTAAACAAAAAAAACAAACATTTGTGTTCTGTTAAGTTATAGATGGGTGAGCAAAACACTCAAAATGCATGACCACAAATCTATATAGGCTTTGGAGTTTACAGTTCAAATCATTACATACATCGACAAGCAACTCCAAATGTAGCTTTCAATAAATGTCTTTGTGTTTAAATAAGTATTTGATAAACTCCAGAGCGAATCAAGTCCTGTGCGGGTTCTAATAACTTCTGATTATTGATGGTGTAAAGTTAGTGCATGTCAGTGGGGGAATGAGGAGAGAGGACATGCGGCAACCCGACAGTTTGTGAACGCACACACTGGGGAAAGTATTAACCAAATTAATGCTACTTCTTCGACCTTTTGTACTGACTTATCTTTTGGGGCCACTGAATAAATTCTGTCTTGCACAGTCGAGGCAATTTTCTTTCAGCAGGAGACTGCCACTGCTGAATGACCGTAAGGAAACACTACATCTCTCCCTTTCTCCGTCTCACCTTTTTCCTGCTTTCAATGGCCTGTTGAAGCCAGACCAGCTCCATGGTCAGCGTGTTTCTATGGAGACGCAGGGCCTGCGGTGTCTGTGGCACATCCTGAGCCAAGCAGTACTGCCGGGGACCTGAACAGGAGATGGGAAATTCAAAATGACTGGTAAGGTCTTCTCACAAAACCAGATGTGAAACTAATCATAACATAAAGTTAATGATTATGGTCATTATGGTTTTTTTCTCCCCACTTAAAAACCGAAAAACATCACATTATGCTGAGACGTCCTAACTTGTTGACAATACTTTTTCGCTTGTTTGGTCAATTTTCTTGAGGCCATTAAAAACTGTAGACATTTCACTGACTCATCTACTGCAAAGTAAACAACATCTATTTTTCCAGTGCTTACACAAGATTTGTGTTGAAACTTTATCAATTTATTAGTCAATAGACTTTTTTTCACTTTTTCTAGTTTCTAAAAAAATAAAAGTTTTGAGCTTTTCACTTTTATATCTTTGTACATTGCATATCTTTGGTTTATGTTCTGTTGGCAATATGTAGACATCCCATTGAGCTCTTGAAAACTGTGATATGCTTTTTCCTCACACATTTTAATATGTTATAAGATTATGAAAATAATGATGTACAAGGCACCAAATTGTGTCTCCTCTTAATGACAGACAGGCTTGATAAATGAAATGATTTCTGAAACCTGTAAAACAATTAATAGACACAAAACAAGCAGTGATCAATAGTAATATGTGCCCAACTCTCACCCTGCTGACAGTGACTGTGGTTCACATCCAGCTCCAAACTGCTCCAGAGGGTGGTGGAGTCTCCTATGCTCTCCCCTGCCTCTCCATGTTTATCTCCCTCCTGCTCCCTTTGTCCAGGGCCCTCCACATCTCCATCACAGTCACTGGGGAGATGGGCTTGGCCTTTGGTCCCTGACTCATCTTTCTCAGCCTCTATCTTCTGCGAAAGGAGATCTTCCTCTCTGTCCTGCGATGGTGCTGCTGTAGATCTCAGAGGACAGGTGCAGACATCTAGTCCTGGATCTGAACCCTCGCTGGCATCACTTCTAGGTCGTAGAAACGGGTCGTCCTGATGATACACGGACATTGATAGTATGAGACACTCATCAAAAAGCTGATTAATGCCCCTCTCATCATAAAATGTTACTTACAGCGTCTGTGAAGTGAGGGATGGGGATAACCGAGCTCCTCCACTGCAGGTGCTTCAGACCTCCATCAATCTCTTTCACTATGTCCTCAAAGTCTTCACGTGCACGACCTACTTCCTGTCTCACCAGGTATCCACGTGCACGCGCCTAAAGAGAAGAGCAGGGGAGAGTACGTATCAGTAAAGCGAATTCTATTCAATTCAAGTAACTTTATTTAAACGTTTGCAACTTCACTTGGGCAAAAGCACCCGTGCTTATCGTGAACTACATGCAACATAGAGGAATCACAAACTACATATGAACATACATAACTACGTGGATCTTGATGGTGATTGAGACTCTCTGAGGTTTCTAAGTTTCCCCCCGGGTGTTGTGTTGTGAATATGCGCTGTACAGAAATGATCGATTGACGATTGATAACTACAGAAACCTGATGCTAAAACTGGAGCTAACACCAGCAGCTGCTTTCGCATGCTAGCTTAAGTAGCTAGGTGCAGCAAGATGTCTGCAGGTTCAAAGATGAAACTCGATGGTTTACGACTTTAAAGCAGGTGAATTATTTTACGTAGTTGACGTTATTACCTGAAAATGTGTGAGTGTCTTCTCCCACTTCCTCCTCTCCATTGCTATGGTAACGAGGAGGAACGCGTACTACGGAAAGCGGGAGAAGAAGTCAAACTTCTGATTTAGTTCCGGTGTCAAATCAAAAAAATAAAAGCACGTCTTTGTGGAATTTAACCACGCGCGTGAACCGGTTGAGTATTTAGCTAATTCTTCCACCGTGTACACGGTTAAATTACAGATTTACGATAAAACCTGTATCTAATTGACCGAAATGACGCCTGGATAGGACTGTCGTCATGTACGTGGTGCTTTATTTTGGAAAACAATTAGCGGAAGTGACCCCTGGTTTGTTGTATAGTCGGTCTGTGATGTTGCTGCGCGTCACGTGTCGCTTTAAGTTTTAAGTTTTATGCCTCAAGTTAGAAAACATGAGCGGCGGTTCAAACCAGAGGACTCTGTTCCAGACGTGGGGCTCCGCCGTGCCCCGAAACAAATCCGCTCCACCGAGGCAAGATGGCGAGAGAGCCGCTGGACGGCGCAGGACAACCCCGAGCAACTCTGCTCAGGTACCCGCAACACTTCCTCCTCCTAACCCCCTGTGGACTGAGATAGGTCAGGGGTCCTCACACTCAGCGAGGACAGAGGAGCCCTGTGGAGATGAAGATGACGATGATGATCTCATGGTGGTTGCTGTCTACGAAGCTGAAAAGAGACTTGACAGTGCGAACTGTCCCCGAGATGACAACCCTGCAGGAGCAGAGGTCAGTGCCCGGTCTCCAGCCCCATCAGCTGGGCAGACATACCCGGACCTCCCCGGCTTTGACAGCTCCTCGGCTAAAGTGTGGATCTACCCCACCAACTACCCCATCAGGGAGTACCAGCTGAAGATCTCAGAGGCGGCTCTGTTCCACAACACACTGGTGTGTCTGCCCACCGGTCTGGGAAAAACCTTCATAGCCTCTGTGGTCATGTACAACTTCTACCGCTGGTATCCATCGGGGAAGATCGTGTTCATGGCCCCCACCAAACCCCTGGTGGCGCAGCAGATCGAAGCCTGTTATAAAGTGATGGGGACCCCTCAGACCCACATGGCTGAGCTGACAGGTAGAATTTATATGTATAACATGTGACAAAAATCACCTTTAAAGGGATAGTTCACCTAAGTGAAGGTGAAGTGTTCGAGTCCCCAAAACACATTTGAAGTTTCACTATTTCACTGTTTACCCCTGAAACTCCAAAAGTGTTTTGTGGACTGAAACACTTCACCTCCATCAGCATAGTGGTGAGTAGATCATGAGTGAATTTTCATTTTTGGATGAACTACCCCTTTAAGGTAATACTAACAGGACAAGCTCTTCCTACTCACAGGCAGCACAGCAGCAAAGCAGAGACAGGAGGTGTGGAGGTCCAAGCGCGTCTTCTTCCTCACCCCTCAGGTGATGGTGAACGATTTGTCCAGAGGCACCTGCCCAGCTCAGCAGGTCAAGTGTGTGGTGATCGATGAAGCCCACAAGGCGCTGGGCAACCACGCTTACTGTCAGGTACACACACTTTCCACTGATGAGCACAGCTTTTCTTTCTGTATACTTTCATGTCAGTGCTGACTATATTATTGTTGTATTTTACTCTCAAAGGCCAATCCTCATAGTGAACCTGCAATAAACTAGTTTTGAAGTGATAGTTCTTCATCAAGTAAACAACACTCTTGAACTTTAAATGTTGTCAAACATCTGTGGAGGCTGAAGTCAGACTCATGGAGCAGATTTTAATAACCCATCAATTATCTTTACTTCTTAATATCCTGATTTTCACAGTGGGGAAGCTGCAGCCTACAATAAACCTAACCTTAATATGTTAACTTGTGGGAGAAAGCTGGTGAAAATCCAGGCAGAAATGGGGAGAGCATGCAAACTCCTCACAGAAAAGACCCAGACCGAGCCAGGTTCTCAAGGAGGAACCTTCATGCCATGACACAGTGCTAAGATCAAAACCCAAAGATGCTAATTATCTTCACTTTGTTTGCATTCGAACACTTAGATTATTAAATCTTCTGTCTATTTATAAAGGATGCTGGGAATGTCCTCTACTCACTCTTCTCTCTGACACTCAGGTGATCAGACAGCTCGGCAGCCAGACTGTGCAATTCCGCATCCTGGCCCTGAGCGCAACTCCAGGGGGAGATGCAAAGGTAACTAGAATCTACAGTTATTTTTTGTCTCTCTGGTCTAATGTGCTGTAAAAAATAATTTACAAAGTATTGACTTCACCATTCCTCTTTTCTTCCATCCCTGCAGTCGGTGCAGTCGGTGATCTCTAATTTGCTCATCTCCCACATCGAGCTGCGTTCGGAGGAAAGCCCCGACATCCGGGCCCACTCCCACCAGCGCAGCGTGGAGAAAGTGGTGGTTCCGTTGGGACAGGCCCTCTCTGCTCAGCAGGCACGCTACCTTCAGGTAGGCCCGCACCTTGAAGCCTCAGATGTAGAAAAATAAAATAAAAAAACACCTGACGTATCAGTCCGAGTTTAGAGAAGATAGTGCCAAGAAACAGCAAGAATTCATATTCAAGCCTTGAGTAAACTCCATGATTCAGACGTTCCCCTGTTAAGAAGTTTTTTGGTGCTGTGCTGCCACCGTGTGGTTAGTGTTTGCTGGCTTCTGCTCTGAAAAATCCTTTTCCCTGTTTTACACGTCTTTCCTCTCAATTATTTGGTCATATACTGTGAACTGGGTCAGTTAATCCCAATGAATTGATTTGTCTTGTACCGACGTCCTGTTACACTTGGTGTTGTGGCTGTCTGTGTTATTAGACGTTCTGGATTATTAATGGACCCTGCAGTCTCTCTCTCTCTCTCTCCCTCCCTCTCTCCCTCTCTCTCCCTCTCTCTCCCTCCCTCTCTCCCTCTCTCTCCCTCTCTCTCCCTCTCTCTCCCTCTCTCTCCCTCCTCCAGGGGTAGACCATAAACGTGCAGCTACATTTTGAATCTGTCTCTATTGGTTGGACAGCTGGAATGTGACGCCTGCATTTGAGAGTTTAGACCTGCTTTACATTCTTCCCCCCTGTCTGATTCCTCTCGGATGGTTTTGTAATAATAGTCGGAGCTCGTCCTTTTACTCGGCGGTCACTCTGTGTTTTCGTTTTTACACCTTCTCTTCATGTTACCTCCAGACTGGAAGGTGTCTGCGCCCTGCTCGTTAACCTTCATGTCTCTCTGCCCTCCCTTAATTCCACCAGACAGCTCACAACACAGATATAACGCAGTGCTCAGGTGTAAAATGAGCATTACTGTCGTTATTCAGGTGGAAATTAATGATCGTTGAGAAAATTGGAAAAATGAGCCATTCATGCAGAGAGGTTATTTGGGATTAGATGTGTGTTTTTCCTCCAGTTTGTGGCCCATTTTATTACAGCCAATATAGAGGAACCAGTATCTGCACGTGAAACCACTTAAGAAGCCTCAACATTGTGCTTTTGATTGAGCGTAGATTGAGATTTGATAGAAAATGCTTGTAATGTCAGTGAGCAACTAGACATATACCAATACCAACATTTGAAAAGCCTCAGATACTGCTGATACCTTAAATCCCGGGTCAACTACGCAAATCTAGTCAAAGTTGATATCGGGAAGGAGAAAATGTATTCTACCTGCAACTAGGTCAAATGTGTCCACCATGTACTGAGGTATCATTCATTTAACACCGTGCTGTGTTGTAATGGAAACAGATGTTGTAACTTGGAGCTTAAGGTAGCTGTATCCACGTGTATCGAAACAAAACATGTTTTAACACATACGTACTATATTAATGCTAATTATTTCCTTCTGTTGTCCTCTAGTCTCTTCATCAGACACTGTATACAATGTCCTGTACAATGAGCACCACTGTAGAGAGTGTGTGTGTTGATCATGAGAGGTCCTCATGTTTCTGTGCTCCAGTAATTGAGCACTGGCTCTTCTTGTGACATGGGTAGCACAACATGTCTCTGAACAAAGGAGGGTGTGTCCCCTTATTGGTTGACACATTAGATCCCATCCCTACACACGGATCGGTCTGAAACACAACCATTTTATCTCAGTCCTTTTTATGTTTGGTGAAAATAGCGTCAATGACAACACTTCTACTAA